TCTCCGGGCTACAAGGGATCTTTCGCCTTGCAGTTCTGCGCGGTGTTCCAGCCACTGAAGCTTGCGACAAAGTTTCTGGAAGGAGAAGAGAAGGCTCTTTGTTCTGTGTATCTCCCAGTCTGGAAATCGGCTACAAGTGCTCTGGAACCCAAGGCCAACAACTTCCTTCCTTTGCCTAAGGAGCTCCAGGGATTTGGCAAAGGTTTCAAAGTACGCGAGCTAGCGCCGCTACCCAAAGAGTTGCTGGTCTACATGCACAAGGACACGCAGGCCATATCTAAAAGACACTTCTGCGGCTCTTCTGGGGAGCTGCTTCTGCGTGCCGCTTCATTCTTGGATCCGCGCTTCAAAAGCCATCTCATGTGGTCGGATGTGCACCTGGACCAGTTCCGCAAGACTGTGCATGAGATGGCAATGGAAGCATGCCAAGAGCACCCGGCGCTCGTTGCCAAGCTGAAGCAGCGATCTGCAAACTTAGGCAAGCAGTTTCTCTTCGCTCTGGCGGATACCGGGGCTGCGAAGCAGAAGGGCAGGGCCAGAGGCAGAGGCAGGGGTGGGGCAGTCAGCCCGCCCGCAGTGCAAGCGCCAAGATCTTGGCTAAGTCTGCATCTGCCGGCTCATCTGGACCCCCTCTCCAGCTAGCATCAGCTCCAGCTTCGAAGCATGTCTTGCGAGAACGGACAACCGCAGAGGAGTGGCTCTTCGGGCAGCAGGCGCAGACGGAAGAATCCGTGATCGAGGAGGTACAGGAGCTGAATGCCGTGATCGACACCGAATTGGCGAGATATATGGTCGTGCAGGCACCAGGAGACATGAACTGTGGCCCACTCCAATTTTGGTCTAATCAGGGGCATTTGATGCCTTACCTCGCGGCTCTCGCAAGCCAGATTTTCGCCATCCCGGCATCTTCCGCTGCCCTGGAAAGATTGTTTTCCGCTGTTGGGCGGGCGATTGGCCGCAGAGGCCACGTCTCACATCAAAGCGGGCTTCCGCCATGATCTTTGGCCACGCTAATGTAGTGAATAACATAAGCCCGCGTAAATGCCAGCGAACTGGGTGAAGGTGGCCTCTCTGCCTTTTTCTTCTCAGGATGTGCCGGCATATTTGCGACTCTGCCAGCGAGATAGACTCACAGGGACAAGTGCTTCTAGAAGGTATTGCTCAAAAGATTCTTTGCGAGTCTGAGTTGCGAGCCTATGGCCCGGGCGCTCAGCGGCAAACATGTCTTTCCCGCTGGATGTTTCGAGCCCGATTGATTTTGCAGCTGTGTTTGTCGCAGACACAGCACAGCTTCCCACGCCAGCGCTGCAACTACACAGAATCATCGCTGTAATTTCCTGCACGAGACTACGCGCCACGAGGTGGCGGGCCCCTCCCCAGCAGCATGCGCGGGAGTACGCTGTTCGCACGTTTCAAGCCCCAAACTCCCGAAATTGAAGGCCAGGAGTGACATGTTGTACAGGTTAGGGAGTTCGTGCTCAGACACTGGAAAGCTTGCCGAAACAGTCCTTCGGCTTGGAAGTTTTGGGCAGGGAAGGGTCAGGGCTGCAGGTTCCCGCATACGGGTGTTCACAGTTGCTTTTCAGCGGGGCAGCTGTAGCGCTAGGTGTTGTGCGGGCAGCCTAGGCAGAACTGGCCAGCTCATTGGGCTTCTTCTGATGTCGAACTCATGGGAACAAAGTACAGACAGCAAGAAGGAGGCTCGAACGGCATGGGCCGTGCAGCCAGCGCGTTTCGGATCTTAGTATTTACAGCATGCCGAGTATCTTCAGGACGTTAAGAACATGTGACACATTGGCGAAAGCTCAAAAACATAACACGTTTTTCTGAATGCTGCACGGTTTCATGTTTCATGCGTCAGCGGCAGCCGACCTTCTGGTTCCAGCTCTCGCGCGCTGAGGACTATCGCTGCATGCTCTTGTTAAAAGTGGAAGAAATGAACCCCCACACCCCTACACCCTACACACTACACCCTAAAGCCCTAAACCCTAAACTCGTGAAACTTCAACCATTCTTTACCCTAAACCCCGAAACCCGAAACCGACCAAATTTTGATGTTGCCAGGAGCGCCTGCTGCAGGGACGCCGAAGCATCTTCCCGGAGGAGCAGCTGTCCTCCCCCGTTGCCCAAACATTTACTTGGCTGCCGTAGGACTCTTATCATACGCCGCCACACCGCATACGGCGACGACGAATGGCATCAAGTGCCGGGTTCTCGGAGCGACAAATTCACAAGCACGAGCCGTGCAGAGCGAGGGAACGCAGGCACGCAGTTGCCGCTTACGTGTTTTCGAAACGGCTTACTTGGAAGAACAGCATGTGCCACTGAAAAGACCCGCTTTTCTGCCCAGGAGTCTGCAGAACCTTTCGTCCTTCCAGAAGCTGCTGCGCAAGGACCAGGTGACGAAGCTGTTGACCGGACAGCCGAGGCATGCCTGATCCGTCTAAACCCGAAACCCCAAACACTAGACCCTAAACCTTAAAACGTCGAAGCGTCATCCGGCGAGATCTGCCCAAAGAACAAACTGGAAACATTTGACCACCACCACTACTGAGACTATAACCTTGAATCTTGGAAGACTTCCGTTCCTTTGCAGGTTGGACAATACGTTTCTCGCGTGTTGGCTCGTGCAGCTGGTCGCTGCCAAGATGTGCCGAATCATGATGGTCCGGCTCGTGCGTTCCCAATTGGCACGAAGGTCATAACTTGCAGCGAGGACTTGCACTTCTCCAGCGTGCCCATGGGAACATCGGCTATAGTGGTCGGCCACAGCGATCAAGAGATTCGGATTCGGATCTCGACTTCGGGAGCTACGCTTTTGCTGTCGAGTGATGAACTCCGCCTGGACCAGGAACCTTGCCCTTGCATGCACCATATTTCCGGGATTGTCCAATTGTCGTCTGTGTCGCTGGCAGAACACGCAAACTCCAAAGCCTATGCGCCGTCTCGCTGCAGGAGCGTCCGAAGACTGCGGCTGCCCAGGTGGCCAAGGCGTCCCTGATCCGACATTTGATAAGCGCTCAACATTGCTAAGCTGTTCTAGTGCTGACGAATTCTCAAAATCAACGTCGTGCCTCCTTTTTGCTTTGTAGTTCTTTCAAACCTTGTTATTAGGGACCAGCACTGGTCCCGAGGAGAACCTGCTACAGTCCCCATGGCTGTGGAGAGGCGAGCAGGCGTATTGGATCGCTTTGCGCCATCGAGGTAGAGAGGCTTAAGCGCCGCCCACCCACGGAGATGGGCGGCAAACTCCTACTTGCCATCATTTGCTAGGGGCCTCTAAATCCGACTTCCCGGAGCATGATATTTCAGGC